TAAAAGTGGTTCTCAATCTTTCCAGACTACTGTACACCTTTCAGGAGTCTGATCTGTCTTGTGTACCCTAAGTTTTACCTCACTTAAAAACTACTTGCTTACAAAAATCAGACATAAAAATAAAAAAGTGTCACAACACTCCATTACTGAAAAATTGCTTACTTCTCATTTTTACCATATAAAATACATGTATGAAATTTCAGTTTGTACTGACTTCACTAGTGCTTTTCATGTAGCCTGTTGTAAAATGAGGCAAATGTTTAGATCAGTTGATGTACCCCCTGGAAGACCTCTGCGTGGGGTCGCATGCCCGTGGTTGAGAACCACTGGTATAGAATACCAAATTAGATTCCAATCCTGCAAACTGTTACGAATTGAGCTTGCCTTTATGCACTAGATATCATCTTCAGCTGAGCTGTTCATGTGCGTGGAGATAAGATGTGTAAATCTTTGCAGGATCAAAGGTTTTATTAATTTGAAGAGAACCCTTTGATTGTATTAGATTTAAATATTTTTCCTGCAATACTTATTCCTTATGAGCTCCACCATGACTATAGTCATCAATCTTATTTCCTCAGGCGCCTGTCCTCAGCTCATCTTCTCATTGCCAACCTCATCTTAGCATATTGCATTATCTTCTGGCCACTTTGCTGAGAAGGACAATTTTAGACCAATGTCAAATTTAAAAGCCTTGTGACTGCAGAGCAGAGAATTGCACCTGGCTCCACCGGCTTCAAATTCAGCTATTTTTTAAAGTATAACAGAATGTGTTTTATTTACTTTATTATTTAAAAATATCTGGTTATTTTAAAAAAAGTTTACCTGCTTAGTTTAGCCAAATGGTTAATAGCAGCATTTCTTACCATAAACAAACTGAAGTGTATTTGTAAATAAAGCTGGCAAGTGACAATAGTCATGACCCAGTAGCCACAGGTTTGCCCTCTGAAAGATTGTATAAACCAATTTCTAGTCTGCTTTAATACCAAAAGTAATGACCAGAAAGAAAATGTTACCACTGAAACTCTGCCATTATTTGATTGCTACACTGGTGTTAAAGTCGGATGAAAACTTCGCAGTCTTTTACTTCTGACAGTTTTATCATCAGCGCAACAACTTGCAGTGTTGCCAACTCTTGGGATTTCTTCACAACTAATGTGATTTTGGTCAGGGCTGGAGCCAGTCTGGTGATGAAATGAGACGCTCCAACCCTCTGTCTGGAGGAAAAGTAAAACCCCTTCCAACTTTCCTACTGCCTGGGGAAAAGCAGCCAATCAGAGCTGCTGCAGAAGATAGGCATAGCTTTCACGCCTCCTCCTCTCAGGAGCAGGGCCGGCTCCAGCTTTTCTGCCGCCCCAAGCGGTAAAAAAAAAAAAAAAAAGGACGAGCGGTGGCACTTTGGCGGCAGCTAAATCACGCCGCTTCTTCGGCGGTAGTTCGGCAGCGGGTCCTCCCTCTCTTCCTCTTCGGCGGCAATTCGGCAGCAGCTCAAAGAGGAGGAGAGGGAATGAGGGACCCGCCACCGAATTGCCGAAGACCTGGACGTGCCACCCCGATACCGGACAGAGTGCCGCCTCTTTGAATTGGCCGCCCCAAGCACCTGCTTCCTATGCTGGTGCCTGGAGCCGGCCCTGCTCAGGAGCCAGATAGGTTCTTGGGTCGAGTAGGAGTGAGAGAGAGCAGCTGACACCATTCTTACAGGACAGAATTAGGGAGGAGGGACCAAAAAGAGCCCTGTAGCTTAGGGTAGCTCCATTTCCTCTTTCCTCCTGTGAACAATGGGTCAGTCTGGTCTCGGCTCCATCCCTGCAACACCAGGCCTGGGAAGGAAAAGGTGGGTGAAGACCACTGGAGCTGCCCCACCCCCAGGCCTAGGAAGGGGGAGGAGGAAGGGCCTGGGAGAGAGGGGTGAAGAACTCCTAACGCTGCAGGATGAGCAGAGGCGAGGCTGACAAGGTCAAGATGATGTGGGGGCTAGGGAGCAGTACTGATGTGAGGGTTGCATAATTAATTGCTGGGCTGAGTGGGACACAGAATTAATTAATTAGAACTGTGAGGTTTGGAGAGAAGCTGGAAGCTCCGTACCATCAGGCAGGTCACCGAATCACCATACTCTACACAAATCTGGGAACTGGCAATACTAATTGTCTCACACACACTGAGGATGGACAAGGGCAGTTCAAAAATCAGAGACCGAACAGACAACATAACCTTTAAAAAAAATCTCATGTCTCATGATTTAATGTTGGGGGTTGGCGATACTGCAAATAGTATTGTATAATATTTTTTAAAGCAAGTCTATCTACCAGCAATAGGCTCAGAAACACCAGGGGTTAAAGTGGGTTGAGTCAGACTGAGTCATGGACCAGGTGGGTGTGTGAGGAAATGATTGCAGGAATTCAAGGCAGGTTATTAGCAAGGAAATGTCAAAGCACCTCACTTTCTAATAGACAAATAGATATGGCCACAGCAGCCTTCCCCCTTTTTTCTCAAATGTGCTCCTCTTTTATTAGATTAGAGAGTTCTGCATGAGATACTTGGCAGGGTTCATGGCTGACATAATAAATATGTATTTGGGGTGAAATCCTGGCAAAATTCCATTGTCTTCAATAGGGCCAATATTTCACCCTGGATATTTTTCTGCTTACGTGGTGCTAACAGATCATTGCATCAATTGCCCTGCTCAGGCCTTCAGTCTGAACTGGTGGACATCCTCCTTATTGACTAATGATAGCCTGTGACAGACATCTACTTGATATCAAAACTATTCGCAATGGCTGATTCCAAGAGGATTCCTGAAGTATCTCAATCACTCAATCATTCCATGATCACTGGTGTTCTCTTTTTTAGTTACAATGTGGCCTCATTCAAGCACAGACCCATTGAAGTTACGTATACTCTATTATTTCCTTGACATTAGATGTAACAGTTCTGTGTAATATGGAAACCAAAGATGGTTTTTTTTTATTTTATTTTTTTTACACAAAGTCCAAAGAACAAGGAAATAAAATATGTTTTTAAATTACTTTAAGAAAACAAGAGCTTTATATGCAGAATAAACCAAACCTGGAAAACAAACTAATATTCAATATACTAAAATGCAATCCAGCCCTTAAAAAATGCTAAATACTTCTGGGGAAGAATAGCTTTCCTTCTGGTGACATTCCTACCTACACCAATTTCTGGGTATCTCAAGTTTACCAATCCTCCCAGTAGGGACTTTTCTTCACATACTTTTCTGTAGGTGAATGCTCCTCCTCCTTGTGGTTTGCCAGGTTTCATGGTTTGCTGGAATTCTACCCCCTTCTGTAGGCTACAAACTCCACAGCAGTAGGACTCAAGTCCAGTCCCTTTATGTACTTCAAAATCAACCTGAGCTCCCTAAAAAAAAATCTTGATGCCAAATGACTCTCAGAGGATCCTAATTTCTACTGAATCCGCCTATTAAGAAACCTCCACTCTAGAGGCCTAAAATTCTTTTCTCTTGTTACTTCAGCAACCCCTTGCTGAACCAGTCAGAATGCCCCAGGGCTGTAATACTACCACTGAGCCACATCTTTCCTGCTCTGCTTTAAATCCTGAGAATACCAACTGCTGCTAAAAACTACAAATATATTTCACACACGGTACACAAAGGGAAGTACTTGCAGACCCAATTCAAAGTCCACAGAATCCATCAATGGACAATGGGATCACATCTTTACTGAACGTTAAAGGCCTTTACACCCCTACAATGAGAACCAAGGGTGACCCACTCATGAAAAGCCCCATTGACTTCAGTGACGATCCATCCACACAGTTCTCATTGTAGGACCAGGGCCAAAGTTGGCAACTTACTTTATTTAAAGTAGTGCAGCTCCTTGGTTCAAAATGTAGATTAGTTTTCTTGGGCATATTCACTGCATTTGTTTTTTACTGACATTCCTGTTATATCTTTTTAATATCAGAGGGGTAGTCGAGTTAGTCTGTATCCACAAAAACAATGAGGAGTCCAGTGGCACCTTAAAGACTAACAGATTTATTTGGGCATAATCTTTTGTGGGTAAAAAAACCCTACATCTGAATAAGTGAGGTTTTTTACCCACGAAAGCTTATGCCCAAATAAATCTGTTAGTCTTTAAGGGCCACTGGACTCCTCGTTGTTTTTGTCTTTTTAATATATTTTTAAATGTTAAATCAAGTGCCCACATAAACAGTTTACTTAGAATGCTTTGTAGTGAGGCAATAATAAAGAAATCATTCAATAGATCATATGAACTTTTAAAGATCTTTGGCCACTTAACCTGTACTTTTAAAAGTACCTAATTACCACATTTGTAGAACAGATTGCAGCTCACCAGTTGGAAATCAATCCTTATTTTTAAAAGTGCCCAAATGAAGATTTAGATAAGCGCCACCGATAAAAGTCCATGTGAACTGTATGTCCTTCACAGGCCAGACTGATAATTTTAACTTGTCAGCTCACTTACATGATAAGGAGTTTTCTTCTTGTTAATGTTTTTGAAACTACCATTTAAAAAAGAAATGTCTCTCTCTACCAGCATAAGCAACAGCAATGTGTTATCAATACGTAAAGGTCTGAAAATAAAGTTTGCTCTTGGTTGCTGGGTGCAGCTATTGCTTTAATATCCTACTTCTTGGCAACAGTGATTTATTTATTTATTTTTTAAGAAAATGCTTTTTTTTTTTAATTGAAAAGAAAATTCACATCATTTTAAATGGTTGTCAAATTTTAGGCCTAAATTATGTGACTGTACAACCCCTGATGGGCCCTTTGGAATAAAATATATTTTCACTGAACAAGCAAAGAGAATGTTTCTGTATTTTTTAAAAATCATCTTCAAATAGACTGATACTATGAATAAAAACGACAAGAAAATAAATTATATTTCAGAATATATTAACATATAAAATATAATTCCATACCATGATGTGAATGTGAAATGTTACACTTGTATTAAAAACAGATTCTATAAACATTAAATGGAGTGTGTATATCAGACTTTACTTCCAGTCAGAAATCTGTACAAAGTACCTATGCATAGCACATATGAGGCATTATAACAAACCCTGTTTTACATTTCAAAGCTTGAAATGCAGCATCTGCATGTTTGCATATCTGAAATGGTACATTATATTGCCCCTTCCAGGTCTTGTTCAAGAAATCTTTAATTAGATTTCATGGACAACGTGCAAAAGAATACAATTTTATTTGATGAGGAACAATTCATTTAGGTCTTGTTTTGGTCAATTATACTATTTTTTGTCTTAATTTGAAGAAAGCAATCTTTGGATTTAACATAAGTGAAGCAGTACCATAGCATTATGCTTTTACTGAGAAAATAGGCAGAAGGACCAATCATTATCCTATTGAAATCTGAGTCTTTAGACTGTCCCAGTCAGCAGTAACCTAGTGCATGTCACTGTTACACAGGAGACTCAGGTTCACATTTTTCCCTCTCTCTATGATGCAGAAGTTGGGTCTGCTTCGGAAACACTCATCCCCACTCTCTGGAAAAGCAGGGGTTAGGACTCAGATAAGCACATAGAAGACCATCCCTCATCTCTTCAGAAGTGTGAGAAGATAGGTCTTTGCCATAGTTATGTTTCCTCCTTGGTTCTGATGGCTAGGACTTGTGTTCTCTGGCCAATGGGGAAATGAAAATGAGTTTGGAGGCACTGCAGTAATCAGCAATTTTTCTTTTTAGTATTCTAGAAAGTAAAAAATGTTTGCAGTATAAATTACATCATAGCTCCAGTGTCCCACCTTGCCCTTGTCTGCCAAAGAAAGAGCAAACACTGCTTGAATATTCTACTGCTAGATTCTCTGTGTACAGAATTCTTTTAAGCCTTGCTCTCTTTTTCTGAGCTTGTACAAGTGTATGGAAAACAAGTTAGATTTGTACATAGTACAATTCAAAGAGGATTTCATGGTTACCAGCAGTGATGACATAGGATTTGACATTTTGAGTATGAGTCAGTATAGAGAATTAATGCCCCAAAATAGCTAAATAAATGTCTTTGCAAAGAGACACCATGGCTTCTTCCGCTTGTTTGTGCATTTTCTTGTCATCACCATTTAATTTACCATCTGTACCACCGCAGATCAATTTGACATGGCTTATAAACATATCTGGTTCCTGTGCTCCAAGCCAAATGTCCCCAATGTAAACAGAAGCCAGGAATACACAAGAAGCTGTGAAACAAAAGTGAAGAAAAAAGGAATCAGAATACTCTTCAGTTTCAAAACAGTAACATGGAAAAATCTATTTTACCAAAATTTCCCTTTCAAAACTGTTTTTTTAAGCTAGAGTTTGCTAATCCTTTGCTTTAATGGACAATCTAATTTTTTGTGCTCATCTCGGACCATCCACTCCCCACCTCTAATAGAAAATACCCTCTTTTTAGTGGAAACCTCCGACATCTTTGAATATAACTAATTATACCATTAGCAACCACTTTTGTCAACAAATGGACAGAACTGGTGTCATGCAAACCAGAACCTGTAATGTGACTTTTGGTGCAAGAATATTTTCCCCATACAACTTCAGATATCCATGTATGTAATTAAGCAAGCCAAATTTAATCCAAGACAACAGCTTCTTTTGGGGACCAGGACTAATGTTATATCAAATATTCTTTTGAGGTGAAGACCATATTCTATATTAATTAATGACCAATAGGCTATCTTCTTGGGAAGGACATAACTTTCTGAAGTGATGATCCTCCATCTTAGCAAAGACAGATTTCAAAAACATTTGATGAATGAAAAATATTTAACTACACAACTACTGTCATCTACTCCTCTGCCTTGTTACTGAGTGTAAACAAAAAAAGGACAAGTTACCTTTCTTGATTTCATCCTTTTCTTTCATTGCTGACAGGCAGAACGTTTTCACCACCTTATGACAACTGGCATTAGTCAACCCCTGAGCATCCAGAAAGTGAAGCATGATTGTATTAAACAAACAGAGCTCTTCAATGTTTGATGACTTCTCTTCGTTGGCTTCACAGATTCTGTTGTAAAGCTTAAACACACTACTTTTCAGTGTGGCATCCCTAAGAATCTCCCGCACTACCGGAGGGTGTGGCAAAATGCTACCGTTTAGCCACTTGAGAGTCAAAAATACATTTTGTATATTGAGGCTATGGTCAACCATGGACTTCACTAGCCATTTGGTTACTATGTAAGCAGTTGCACATGTAAGACTGATAGTTTCATTCTCTGGATCAGTAGATTCAAGCTGTTCCTCTGGAAGTTTAGCAAACGGGGCTGGATAAACAGGCTCCCAATGAACCAATATGGACTCCAGATGGTCTCTGCATTTCTCTAAGTTTGAGTCCTTCAGCTCTGAGTCCGTTTCTTCTTCTCTTTCTACCACATCCTTTTTCCGAACATGGCGAGATGAAGGCCGAAATGGGACTTGACCTTTGTTCTTTTCTTTAATATTTTCTGTAAATGGGAAAAATAAAAAAACATTTCAAGCTCTTCAAAAACTCTCGTCACTATAAAGCAATAATGCAGGGAGGATGGCCTTGTGTAATTACAGCTGCTGGGAGATTGCAAGGTACATGCTTCTGGCCTGATTAAAAAAAAAAAAAGAAGTATTTGTGTGCTTAAAAAGTTAAGTTACATGCTTAGGGTACCCTGTTGAATTAAAGCTTCTAACTGCAAAGGGTGCAATTACTTCACTAGGGCCCTGATCCAAAGCTCAATGAAGCCAATGGGTGTCTTTCCATTGACTTCAGTGGGCCCCACATCCACAGGATGTAGTTTGTCACTGATCTTGTGAAAGCTTAGACTTTTATGTAAGGTTATGTGAAACTTTCAGTTCAATTCATTGCTAGTCATATTATCAAAGCAGTAAGGCTTGTAAACAGCAGCAATGCATTTATTCTACTGCATCAGTACTGAATGGGGCATTGTCAGAGATGCTAATTTTGAAAAATCTGGAAAGTCATCAGAAATCTCAATTATTTTGCAATAAATGCAATGGATTTAAACCAATTTCGATTACTAAAAAAAATTAATATCAACCCCAGCAAGTGATTTTAACAGCAACATTTCATGTCAAAGGGAATTTTTGTGACTGTCTTATAAAACTGCTGAAGGCTGGAGAATGAAACTGGACACAATAATTGATTGTTAACTATAGAAATGGTAACAAATGCAAACATAATTCACTAAACTAAAATTATATATATATATATGTTAATAATATGGCACAGGCAAATATACAGAATCCCTAGAAATACCTAAAAAAATATTTTTGACATCTTTTAAAATTTGGTGGGCTTTTAATATATATATATACTTTGTTAAGTGACAACATATTCTGTAAAAACTACAGTATCACTGATCCTGGTGCACTGGATTAAAAAAATATACCCTCTTCTTCCCCTCCTCCCAATATCCTTATATATTATTGAAATGGAAAGAGCGGTAAAAAGTCTAATTTGCTTTTCACTCATTGTGCTGTTCCTTTACTTTTTGTATTTCTCTCAGCATGGACAATGAAAATAGACTAGTCAATTTCATTTTTAGGTTCTAAAGCACTCTCAGAACACTGCAAGGCTTTGGCTACAAACGCTGTAGAACACTGTATGTTTGTTTATAACACTATTCCCACTGGCATTTTGTTTTCTTTTTAAATCATAACAATATTTTTATATAATCTTCAGTTTTGTTAAAACTTATTTTTACAAAATGTACATTTTGGAAAATGTTTAACTCTGCAGTGTCCTTTAAAAACATGGAAAGAAATGCATATTAACCTATACATAAAGTGTTGTTTAGGGTTACCATTCGTCCGGATTCCCCCGGACATGTCTGGCTTTTTGAGCTAAAAATAGCGTCCAGGGGGAATTTGTAAATGTCCGGACTCCCCCCCCCATGCAGAGCGCGCGTGGCTAACAGGGCAGCCGGCCGGATGGTGCCACTTACATGGGGCTCCGACAGCCAGAGAGAGCCCTTCCTCCTCTCCCCTGCAGCAGAGATCACTCCCTCCCTGCATTCGCAGATCGCCTCCGGCAGTCTGGAGCTCCTCCCCCACTCCTCCTCCCCTGCTGCCCAGCGTGCCGGGATGAGCGGCACGGTAAGGGGGCCAGGGGGTCGGAGAAGGGACAGGGAGGTTCTGGAGGGGGCAGTCAAGAGACGGGGGGGGGGGGG